CCCATGGTTCATCTTTCCTGGAATATGGCACGAAACATTAAAGTCTCAGATCCAAAGCTTTTTGAAATGATTAAGTGAGTACTTTCTAAAACTGCTGTAGTCCATTTTGGGAGTAGGGAGCAATAATTAAGTTTTTTTCCCTCTAAAGAATCCTGACCTCAAATGATAAAATGGTCCAGAAAGCTTATTAAAATATCATAAAAGAATATACTTTGGGTGCTGGAGTTGTGGCTCAGTGATAGAGCATTTGCCTGGCATGTGTGAGGCCCTGGGTTCGATCCTTAGTACTGCATATAAATAAATAAATAATCAATCCATTGAGTGCTAAAAATATTTTTTAAAAACAACATACTTTTTTTTTAACATATAATCAGGATTCTTATAGTACAATAATAAAGACAGCTGATTTTCAGTAAATTCACAAATTCAGCTTGTACTCTAACAAAATTTATTTCCCAAAACAACTCAAGTTGTTTCATTATTTTAAAATTATTGTTTATCCTTTCATTTTTTTCTGTTTTTCAACTATTGAGATCTAGTTGGCAATTAAAATTGTACATATTAAAGATATACACTTGATGTTATGTTTTGCATTAAGATGATACACTTATGCATTTAGAAATTTAGTTAAGGCCATTATAAAATTGCCTCATATAATGAACAAATTTATGTGTGTATAGTGAGAACACTAACTCCCTTTAGATTTTAACTATTGTTTTTCATACTGTACATTACATCCCCTAAAACCTATTTACTTGATAACAAACTTTGCACCCTTGACCAACATTTTCCCAAATTACATTCAACCTCAGCTCTGGTAACCTAACAATTTACTGTGTTCTTCTGTTAATTTGACATTTTTAGAGTCCATGTGTATGTGAAATCATGCAGTATGTGTCTTTTTGAAGTTGGCTCATTCCAGTTTACAAAAAACCTTCAAGATTCATTCATTAATAATATCACCGATATTATAAATTTTTTTTTTTTTTGTACCGGAGATTGAACTCAGGGGTACTCAAACACTGAGCCATATTCCCAGCCCTTAGTTGTATTTTATTTAGAGACAGAGTCTCACTAGTTGCTTAATACCTCACTATTGCTGAGGCTAGCTTTTAAACTTGTGATCTTCCTGCCTCAGCCTCCTGAATCTCTGGGATTACAGGTGTGCACACCATGCCCCAAAATTTCCTTCTCTTTTAAGACTATTGTTTCATTGTATATAGATACGATATGCATTAGCAGACACTTAAACTGATTCCATTTCCTGTTTGTCATGAATATATATATAATTGCTGATCATGTGGTAGTTGAAGGGTTTAATATTTTGGAACCTCTGTACCATTATCTGTGTTGGCTATACCAACTCACATTCTTACCAATTGTTTTTTAAGAGTTTTTTTTTTTTCCATCTCAGCCAATCTCTGTATTGTTCTTACGTAATAGCCATCCTAGAAGATGTGAGGTGATGTCTTACTGTAGCTTTGCTTTACATTTCCCTACTATTAGTAGGGAAATGTAGTGCATTCTTTATATACCTATTGCCTATTTCAATGACTTAGAGAAATGTCTGTTTTAAGTTCTTTGCACATTTTAAAATCAGACTATCTTATTTTTTCCCATTGAGTTATGAAGATTCCCTCTGTATTTGTAGTATTAATTCCTAATCAAGTGTATGGTTTGAAATATTTTCTCCCATTTTTTCTTTTTTCTTTTCACTCTGTTGATTGTTTCTTTTGCTATGATTGTTTCTTTTTTAGTTTGATAAGAGTTCTGCTTATTTAGTTCCACTTTTCTTGTCTGAGTTTTGGTGTTATGTCCCCAAAATCATTGCCCACACCAATGCCAAGAAGCTTTTTTACTGTGTCCTCCTTTGGTACTTTTACAGTTTCAGTTCTTATGTTTGAGCCATTAATTTTGAGGGTTGGGGGTATTCAGGTTAGAGGCACTCAATAACTGAGTTACATCCCCAGCTCTACTAGTTACATCCCCATCTCTAGTCTCAGTGAGACTACAGTCTCACTTAGTTACTTAGTGCCTCTATTGCTGAGGCTGGCTTTGAATTTGTAATTCTCCTGCCTCAGCCTCCTGAGCTACTGGGATTATAGGCATGTGCCACCATGCCTGACAACTGTTAATTCTTTTTGAGTTAATTTTTTTTGTATGATATGAAATAATGGTCCAATTTCATAATTCTCCATGCAACTGTCCTGTTTTCCTAGCCCTTCTATTTTTTCTATTATTCCTTGATAATACTGATGATGAACCTGGGTTAATTTACCACTTAAATGCCTTGCTAAGTTGCCCTGGCTGCTAAACTGGCTATTGTCCTCCCCCATTGTTCTAAGTAACCAGGCAAGTATACATCTGGACCCCCTGCCTGTGTACCCCCTCTGGACCTTCCACCTCCACTGCCTTTTGACAACTTTCCTTTCCCACTACATGTTTTTGGCATACCACTCAATTTTTTATTACTAATTAAATCTCTTCATTTGTTATTAATATGTCCAGGTTCTCTTTCTTTTTTGTGGTGCTGGGTTTGAAACCAGGATCTTGTGCATGCAAGGCAAGCACTCTACCAACTGAGCTATATCCCTAGCCCTCTTTTTCTTGATACTTATGTGATAGGCAGAATGTTTCTTTGTTTTCTGGATATCCTGTTATCAGCATATTAGTATTCATTCACGAAAGTCATTTTAATTCTTTACTTCTCAGCATCTGTTGTAATGTCTTCTCTATCACTTGTGATTTTGTTATTTGAATCTTCTTTTTCCTTAGTAAAGTTGAGACATTTTTTAAAATGTATTTTTTGCTCATTTTTAGGATTTTTATTGTATATATGAGTTATTTCTGCTGCAGTCTATTTCCTTCAATCTCTTATAGTTCTATGAACTTATTTATTTGAGAAACCTTCCT